ACACAAAACATCATTACAACAAATATTATATAGAGTATAAGATAACAAGTAGCATTGAATCATTAATCAAATTGGGATTAATTACAAATAGAAAATACAAACATAGCAACTAGCTAATAGCAACACAGTTCACAAAAGTTTTTAAATATTCTAACAATCTATATATCTATACATAATCTTTTCTACAATGTGTGAAAATAAAGGTTATTGAAAGAATCACTGAAATATCTTATCTTGATTTGCACCACATGTATATAGAAACTTAAATTATTAAAGTTAGAGCATGAAGTCATTATTGGGATTAAAATGTTAAAAATATTGTTACAAATATGTAATAAAATATAAGCAAGAAGATTTATAGTGTCTTGTTTCACATATATAGAGAGTCTGAAAATATTTTTAAAAAATAGTTATTCCAGGTCCCCATTTCTACAAAATATTTTCAGGATAAAAAAGTAAGATTCCCAAAGGGAGTATTTTGCACACTTTTCTTCCATTGCTTCTTTTTTGAGCTAAATTGGTATCACCCAAGACACTGAAAAATGTTCCTTTAATCAAAATGAAATAATTGTTTAAAAGAAATTCATTAGTTTAAATTTTTTTTTTATCATCCAGAAATATTCCTAGATTTTTTAAATTTTTATTCATTTTTGATTTGATTTGATTTGATTTGATTTTTTTAAAAATACTTTTTAAAATTTATTTATTATTATTATTATTATTATTATTATTATTTTTTTTTTTTGGTGGGGGGGCTAGAGAGCAGCTTACCTGAATTAGACCGAATGCAATTCCGATGGCTCCAACGATGTAGATGTTATCCTCGAGTTTCATCGTCAGCTTAGGTTGGCAGCCCTAGAATGAAATGTGACAAACCAAAGAGAGAGAATTAAGATGAGCTCAGCAATGGTTGAAAAAATTCAAAGCTGGCTTATCACGTGCACAAAATGTAGGCTCAAAGAGATACAATCATGCCATGACCCGAGGCGCGCGGAGGTGGGCGATGCGTCGAGAGGTCATGGCAGGATGTAACGTCCCCGAGAGCCAGTATAGAAACAGCTATGCTTCGAATATTAAAACAGTCCATATATCTTTTATATACCGAATTCACACAAAAAAAATCTACAAAGAATTCTTGCCTCATCCATTTCTCGAGTACAAATTGGTTAAAGCATCACAGAAAATCTGAGACACTGTCTGATAATCTTCGCAGGAAAGTTGCCTGAATGTTATGATCATTTGGGAATCGCACACACACTGTATGGTATCTGTGCTCGCACGTTACACAAAGGAATTTTTTACACGTAAACCAATGGGCATCTCAGCAAAATATAACTATATATGCGGCCCGTTACCCAGGGCTATACAGGCATCTTTCCGTTAACTATTGACCGATACCCGGGCATGGTTAAAATCAGGACTCCAATTTTGACCGATCAGATGGCTAGATTTATTCAATATACTAAAGAGGGGAATATAATTTTACTAATGCCCTCGGTGATGTATATAGGGTATAGTACTCACCTCCATCCATGCCGTTCCCGTTGCTGCACAACCTTTCTCGAAAGCGGGATCACAACAGGAGTCAGGGAACCTTGCACCATTCAAAGTAACGTTGGGAGTAGTCGTCCAATCTGAAGAGCCGTTCACACCGCAGCATTTGAGCTGAAAAAGCAATTGGGAAACGTACATGACTTTAGATGTGTTCACACTTGAATTGGGGAACATACATGTATCATCAACAGGCAATGTAACATAGGGACTCTGCCAGTCTGTAGAGGCGTTCACACCATAGCATTTGAGCTGAAAAACAATTGGGAAATGTTAATTCATTAAGATGCGTTCATACAAGGGCCGAGTACAAACATGTAGCACCTTTATTACTCTGCCAATCTAAAGAGCTGTCCACACCTTGAAATCGGAGCTGAAAAACAAATGGAAAACGTACAATTTTTTAATTGCTTCAACGCATGAGTTGGGATGCATAGCACTAACAAGCAGTGTAATGTTGGGACTCTGCTGATTTAACGAGCCGCTCACACCACAGCATTAAAACTAAAAGCCTAGAAACATAGAGAATTTATATTCTTTCGTCAAATACAGAATTTTTGAGAACAATGAGAATTATGCAATAAACAGACAGTATGAACTATTCCATAATACAACCTAACATCAACTCATGCTACTCTCATTGTCATAATTTTTAACCAAATCCTAACATAAACACCTAAATTATTTAAACACATGTTTAGAGGACACTAATGGAAAATTCAACATTATACCAGAACTTTACATACACGTACATGTACATCTACACCAGACTAATACACCCATGTTCAACTATAAGACTGCTGTATAATCCATGCCTGCATGAGCACAGGATGCAGAGTCTGTTAGTAAGGGCCTTGATTACAGTCTGTGCTACATTACACCTAACATTAAGAATCACCTACATCTTACCAATATCTACACCAGACTAACACCAGTATTTTACCCACCTCAGACTGTAGAACATCCCAGCCTTTGGTAAGAGACTGGGACTTGTTGCACTCTGAGAGTCCGTTGGTAAGGTCATTGGTCATTGACGACCTTTCACCTACACCTCACTAATATCTACACCAGACTAACACCAATCTTTTAACCACGTCAGACTGCAAAACATCCCAACCCTTGGTGAGAGACTGGGACTTGTTTTATTGCGAGAGTCTGCTAGTCCTTAAACATACAACTACACCTTACTAATATCTACACCAGACTAACACTAATCTTTTACTCACATCAGAATGAGACTGGGACTTATTGCACTCTGAGAGTCCATTAGTAAGGTCATTGGTCATTGACGACCTATCACCTACACCTTACTAATATCTACACCAGACTATTAAACACCAATCTTTTAACCACCTCAGACTGTAGAACATCCCAACCCTTGGTGAGAGACTGGAACTTGGTTTATTGCGAGAGTCCGCTAGTGAGGTCATTGACGACCTTACATCTTAAAGATACACCTACACCTTACTAATATCTACACCAGACTAACACCAAACTTTTACTCACGTCAGAATGAGACTGGGACTTGTTGTATTGCGAGAGTATGCTAGTAAGGTCATTGGTCATTGACGACCTTACACCGAACATACACCTACACCTTACTAATATCTACACCAGACTAACACCAATCTTTTACCCAACTCAGACTGTAGAACATCCCAACCCTTGGTGAGAGACTGGGACTTGGTTTATTGCGAGAGTCCGCTAGTGAGGTCATTGACGACCTTACATCTTAAAGATACACCTACACCTTACTAATATCTACACCAGACTAACACCAATCTTTTACTCACGTCAGAATGAGAGTGGGACTTGTTCTATTGCGAGAGTATGCTAGAAAGGTCATTGGTCATTGACGACCTTACACCGAACATACACCTACACCTTACTAATATCTACACCAGACTAACACCAAACTTTTACCCAACTCAGATTGTAGAACATTAACCCTTGGTGAGAGACTGGGACTTGGTTTATTGCGAGAGTCCGCTAGTGAGGTCATTGACGACCTTACATCTTAAAGATACACCTACACCTTACTAATATCTACACCAGACTAACACCAATCTTTTACTCACTTCAGAATGAGAGTGGGTCTTGTTGTATTGCTAGAGTATGCTAGTAAGGTCATTGGTCATTGACGACCTTACACCTGATATCTAAACCACAGACTAACACCAGTCTTTTACTCACCTCAGACTGCAGGACATCCCAGGCCTTGGTGAGAGACTGGGACTTGTTGTATTGTGAGAGTCCAGCAGTAAGGTCCTTAATGACGAATCCCTTGACCTGGCTCCTGTAGGTGAAGGCGAGAGCACCGGCAGCAATCTCGAGGATCAGGATCAGGAGGAGCAGGAAGAAGAACTGAAATGGAACAAAAGGCGCCAAAACATTTGATGATCGAAGATATAAAGTTGAGTTCTAGTCTTGCAGTCAATAACAGTGTGAAAGAAACATTCTGGAAGCAATTGGGACAGGTTTGATGGACAGTGTTGGAAATACGGTGGAAAATTGCATGCACTGCTCACAGAAATGTATCAAATTTGAATGCAAATGTGGAGTGATTAAAGAAACTTCTAATGGGGACCATGCATGGAGATTCTTCGTGTACATTTGCCCAATTTCTAGTAGGGAAAATACAATTGGAATTTGAATAGAATTGGAATTTGGGATTTGGAGTCAAAATTGGAATTGGAATTCAAACTTGGAAGGGTAACATGAGAGGATGTATGGAACTCTCATTAATGAAATCACTCAGCAGTGTTATATGATTACACTGACTATTGCATGGAATATAAAGATAAATTGGAATCTCAAATTTCAAATTAAAAATTGGAAATGGAATTCAAATTTGGATTGCTAATTTACAATGAGCAGGCATGGAGATTCATGAACATCACACTCCTTCCTTCAATTGCACAAAAATGAGGCAGGAAATTGAAATAGGAAAGTGAAATTTGGAGTCCAAATTTCAAATTTCAAGTTGAATTTGGAAATGGAATTCAAATTCAGAATGCTAATTTACAATGATGAGCAGGCATTAAGATTGACGGATATCACACTCCTTTCTTCAATTGCACAAAATGAGGCAGGGAAATTAAAATTGGAAAGTGAATTTTTGAGGTCCCAAATTCAAATTGAAATTGGAAATGGAATTCAAATTTGGATTGGTAACTTACAATGAGGAGCATGCATGCGCTTTCCTTGATGGCACCACAGCATCCGAGGAAACCGACGACGAGGACGATGACTCCGCATGCGATCAGGAGGTTGCCTGCGCTCAGGTAGGAGAAGCTGGGGAGGATCTGGGCAAAGTCACCATCGACGACATTGACGTAGATGCCGACCGCGAGCACAACAATACCAGCGACCTGTGAGAAAAAGGAAGAAAGGTATAAAATCATCGGGAAATCGAAAATATACGTTGGTACATTAACAAAAATGAATATTTAATATGATTAATAGTTTCTATACCTCGTCTAATATGAAACGACTATGCTTTCTTGGCAATGTCACCTATTATTCCAATAATGTAGCATTTTATTATGAAATCTGGGGAATGTTTCACAAAGACTAAGATCGACTTTAAGTTGGACTTTAGTATGGCAGGCCATTTATGCCACTGTTTGCTCTCACCATTTACTGGCAATGTTCTCTCAAGGGACGTACAAATTAATGTCACACATCTAGAGAATCCAGATTTTTTGATAGTTCATTGTTGAAGGAAAATATTATCTAAAGATCATAAATGAGAGACCAATAGTGAGAGCAACCAGTGGCATATGACCGCCTGCCATAGTTGATTCTAACTTGATCTTAGTCTTTGTGAACACCCCCCTGGTCATCGCAAATAATAATCAGATGGGTAGTACTGAAGCCCCAGCAGCGGGCAAAAGACACAGGAGTAGTGAGCAATCTAACTTTTGAAATCTCAAAAAGTGTTTTGGTAAAAACAATGGAATATGTACAGGTATAAGTTGCACAAGGGCAATCAAATATCCTTCTCTACATCCAGCTCACAATGAGCTTCTTTCTTTTTTATTGTTCACCAAGATTCACAAATCTACTTTTCAATCTGCAACATGTTAAAAATGTTATGAATTTCTTAGTGAATACTTGAACAGCTCCATCTCTTGGTTAAAACTAAACAGTTTGCTCCCAATGGTTGTCCTAATTTCTTCTTTGTTTTTGTTTTTGTTTTACTTGTGAACAGCGCAATAACAGTTGATGACACCTGCACAATGATATGGCAATTCCCAACGAGACTAATTACATACTTAGCACACAAGCCTAGGCCCAGGAAATCCTACATTACATGGAATTAGTACTGGACCTCAATCCACCTGTTCGTCCGGTAATCACTGAGCTAATTAAGGCCTCTCTAGTTCTTAATTTTGGCTCTAGTCCCAGATTGTAATATGATCTGCTCCAAATATGGTGACCCTGATTGTTAGTGCTAGTCTAATTCATTTTTTAATTGATATTCCTCAGTATCATCATGATTATGATAGCAGGGAATGGCACGCATGGGGCTTACTATACAGAAACACTTTGGTCACACTCTACATGTACTGTGAAGGCAAAGTCCACCCTAATAATTAGCTGATATAATTACTGAAAACAGAAAAACAAGAGAAACAAATAAGTTAAAGTTTGAGAAATATCTGATTAAAAGTAAGAAAGTTATGAATCTTTGAAGTTGTCATCGCTGAGACACAAATTGGCAACACTACGACGTATCTTGCAAGGTCCTCTCCAATTTGCTGTGTACAAAACATTTTGTAAAGTTTCATTTTCTTAGTTATTGATGATGGAATATATTGTTTCATACAAGGATTGTATAGAAACATACTTGCAATCAAATAGTTATGGTGCAAGTATAATTGAAATTTTCTTTTGGGAGGGTAGCAATTTCTGTTTATTTTTAGTACAGAGCAAAACGAGAGGCTACCTCGCATGATACCTAACAGAGGTACCAATTTTTGTTTAAATGATCACAATTTCAATAATTCATAACTATTTTTAATCCAATTTTGCTCAAAATTTCACGGACCTGTTCCTCTCATTTTTCTGCATCTACTCAAATCAAGTTAATATCTGAGTGGACTTCCCCTTTAATGTTTGTTTGGAATTATTTTCTGGGGGAACATTCTAAAATGTTACCTACTCAAATTATTGGGATATTTGTAAAATTATCACAACAAATACGATAGAAATATTAGCAAAAAGCTAGATGTTCAGACAATTTTTTTCAATTCAATTTAAAGCAATTAAAAAAATTCATAACTTTCTCCAGTCTGCTTGTCTGAATTGTTCTGCTTTATTTTAGTAGTATGCTATTAGGGATGGGATTTCTCTTTAAATCTTAATTAAGAACCCTTTGCTACAACACTTCAATACAATTTATTTGCAGAACAATTTGCTAGATGATTGCATCCTATCTCTCCTACATGTACATTCTGTAAAATCACCTTGTGCAAAGTAGACAAAAGTGTTTGCTGTACGCCTTAGTAAGTCAAATAATTGTGCTTGGAGTTGTATCTTAGCAACCAATACCCAATATCAATGTTTAATACTAATGGATATACAAATATTTGACAGATTCATGGCAAAGAACCTTACAAAAAAATTGTGTTTGCCCCCTAAAATTACATTTTCATTACATGATGGCTGACATACTGCAATCACACCAAATAATACTATTTGCTTTAAATTGACGGGTTGGAAAAGATCTTTCGTCACCTCTCCAAATTTTGATTAACTCAGCATGGAAATACGCTACGCATACAGAGCATGACTTGTGCTACTCGAAACCCGGTCTTTACATGTTTTTTTATTACGCGTCATGCTTAAAACCAAATACACATCCTTTAGAAATTGTACGAGTGCAATCAAAATGATTAGAAACCACCTTTTCTATAATTGGGCAGGTCCAAGCTATTTGGATTGTGACGTACGGGACATTTAGAGACTTTAAACAAGAAATAACAACAGATGAAATTATTTATATGGCTATCTTTTGGTATGAGTCTGTGGCTATTATGGGCTAGTTCATTTGTGGAAAGTTTTAGTTCTGACCAATTTTTTAATTAATTTTAAATGTAATTAATGTGCTGCGTGACGTACAGGACCACAGCGTCCCGTACGTCACGCAGCACATTAATTACATTTAAAATTAATTAAAAAATTGGTCAGAACTAAAACTTTCCAAAAATGAACTAGCCCATAATAGACACAAACTCATACCAAAAGATAGCCATATAAATAATTTCATCTGTTGTTATTTCTTGTTTAAAGTCTCTAAATGTCCCGTACGTTACAATCCAAATAGCTTGGACCTGCCCAATTGCGTAAATACAATGTGAAGGTGAACAGCTACACTTAAATATAATTCTCAATTTCCAATGCAAACCTATGCCTCAAAACCAACACCAGCAATATTCTGATTTTAGGGATGGCTTTATCTAGAAGTACAAATCCCTTTACAATTTAATGAAAACCACTTTCCCCAGCAAGTCTTCTTTCTAAATGCAAATTGATGCCTCAAAACCACCACCAGCAATATTCTGATTTTTGGAAAAGCTTTATCCAGCAATACAAATCCCTCTTCAATTTAATGAAAACCACTTTCCCCAGTAAGACTTCTTTCTATTGATTGCCTACCGATTCTGAGTAGAATACAAAATAGGAAATACTGAGAATATTGATTCTTGAATAGTATTTACTGCTAGAATAGCTACATGTACGTGATATAAATGCAATATTAGCAAAAGCTTGGACCGTTTTTATTTTCTTTCAATTTCTGTCGGTCGATATTTGTAGGCTCCCTGTATTAGTCACACACTGGGTTACAATACAGCATCTCCGTTATACTTGTTGTGGTCAATATGGTTCCGCCCCAAGCATTCAAATGACCTTAGCTGACCCTTATAGAAACTTCAAGATTACAAGCATGCATCAAGATTGACCCAAAAGCCCCAAGTTGAAAACAGAATTTTATCCCCCTCAAAATATTTTCTCTCTCTCTCTCTCTTCTCTTGCTTTTCTTGTTGAAATGTCACATGAAATTAAAGAGAGAGAGAAAAAAAAGCTTGTTTTGTAGAGTGTATTGTAATGAAAACTTTGTGCTACCCCCCTTGAAACAGTAAGAAAATGATAAATTTTTAAAGTTGTGCCCTGTTAAAACACAAATTTTCTCTATATTGTACCTTATTAGTAGCACCTCCTTTCCCCGAATGCACCCTGATCATAACAATTCTAGGAAACAGTTTCACAAAATCCCTCTCAGAAATACACCCAATTTTTAATCAACAACCGGGAAAATTGAATTATCAAAAAAACCATTAGAAAGCCAATGATAGAGGTGCTCAAAAAGTACATCATTGTTGCCATTTAGTACTATAATGTACCATTTTAAGGCCACACGCTGTTGACAGGAATACTTACAAAGAAGATAAAGTTGAAGATGAACATGAGGATCTTAACGATCTTGGCGCAGCCTTCTAAAGCCATTCTGATTTAGTTTGCTGTCAACTTGAAGAAAGACGAGACTCCTGCAGATATCAAATAAGAAGAAAATGAGAACAAAAGAGAATTGATTAAAGTCTGAAATCAAGTATGGGTGATCACGGTGAGAGCATAATAATAATAATATAACGTACTTATATAACCCATTCGGATTAAGTTTGCTGTGAATGCTGTCAACTTGGAAAGTGGCTGAATTCATTATATTTTCAATCTTGTATTATCTTGAGAGAATATATGGTATATATCAGAAAGTAGTTCATTTCATTGTAACATAGTAACGGCTTGCAAATATTGCAAAAAAGTAGTTTACAAGTTATACAACCAAATTTGATAACTTGCAATATTCATTATACTTCAGATTCTATTACAGCATACTTATATCATGATGAAGTTTGAGACAATCGTTCTAGTTCTACTTTGTCTGAAAAGTAATCTACATTGTATAAGTACTTGTTCCTTTCACTGATAGTTCCATTGATTTCATTGAAAAGCCTGAAGGAGCTCAGGCATAGTGCATACAAATTATCATGCAAGAGTATCAAAGAGTATTAGTCCTTTCACGACAGGATTTAATTTTAGGTCTCGATTGATCACATAATGTTCTTCAAATAGGCAACAATAATACATTTCTTTCATTGCTACATTGATAAAATAAAGTGTAATGTGACCAGGGAAAAAAATTAATATTTCTTTTTCGGGGGCTACTTTTCAAGATTGCCTGCACGAAAATAACATTCTAAAATTTGTTTTGCATTGAACTCTATGCAAATTTACAGGGCTCTTTTCTGATTTTCGGGGGCTCTTTTGGGCATTTCGGGGGCTATTTCGCCTTGAGCCTCCGTGAATTTTTTTCACTGGTAATGTCTCTGAAAACAATAAATGTGGGAAAGAATATTCAATTGAAAGTTGAAAATGGTAAATTGAGATTTTTTTAAACCCCAGTGATTTTGAATCCTCATCGTGTTGCCAATTGAAGGATTTTAAAGATCATCTTCCTTCATGAAATTCCTGGCATGAAATGCAATGTAGCCTTTAAACAAAAATGGATGCAGTGTGTGCAGAAACTTCTGCCTGTTCTAACTCATGCATCTGCCATAATTTATAGGGTTCTGAATCAAACATTATTGAGCCAAACCACAAAATGAAGAATGATTGAGACTTTATGTTGCAAAACAAGATAACAATAAATTTCAAGATTTAAGAGGGGAAGGGCACCAACTACATACATGTACTTGACCTCTTTATCAACATAGTCGATCGTAAATGTGTCATTCTAAACTTACAGTAGTTAATTGCCATCTCAGAAAGGTCTTAAATTTGGCAGCTCTGTAAAAATGCAAATAGACAGTGCTGGTACCCTTCTTCCCTACATGGAAATTGATAAGCAATTGAAGTTATCATTCATGAGCAATTTCATGATTCTGCCTTTATCGTACATGCATATACAGTATACTGTAGATAAAGCTTAGGTTGCCGTTAATTGTTCGTTCATGCGCGCCAACAAGGATATGCCATGTGGTGTGCCTGTACATCCCCAAAAAGCAATTGTTGCTTTGTTCGCGTTGAAAAGAACACATCGCATGTTAAAAATCAATATAGGGATAGTACCATCACCATCATAGCGTGCAGGCCTGCTTTGTGCATTGTGGAAACCATCAAAGGCAATGACCTTTGACATTTTTTTACAGAGATCTCGTTCTAATCAATAACTCATTGATGAGTCAGAAGGAAAGGTGACTACAATGAAACAAAAATTGATTTTATCTTGTGGGGTGTGGAATTATCTTGCATCATTACTGGATTGTAACTTGCAGAACAGATGCGTATCCAATTTAGTTTTACATTGGAAAGCATTGCAAAATAATCGTAGACTACCATCAATTTATGCATTGAACATTTTGCTTTCTCATTGTTGTTTGATAGAGTACAAATAAAATTAAAAGAAGGTGGGATACATTTTAATGGTTAAATCGTGAAAAAAAATAGTTAAATAAAAATAAATCAACAGCCTAATGACACTAAAAAAAATTAATTCTGCTTAATTACAGGACTCCTGAGCAATTATATCAATAAATACATGTTGATGATGAATGCTTTATGGATGAATAAAAAGTAAAATGATGTTGCAGAAAAATATGTCAACATGCCAATGGCTGCACTTTGGTACCATGGTAACATAAGTACACACACACAGAGTTGAACATGAAGGTTTGTTGTAGCTACGAGGGGCACTACTACAGATTGAGAAGAGGGGGGGGGGGGAGAAAAGCGACACCCCCCTCCTATGAAGTGGCTTGCAGTCTAGACCCCCTCCCCTCCCCCTAAAAAAAAATCAATCGAATGAACTATAAACATTAGTTAATACATCAATCAATCAATCAATAAATAATGAATAATATAAACGAATAAATAAATTAAAGAATTAAACCACAAAATATCTTCAACCTCCTCCCTCCCTGTCTCCTTTCCTATTTTCTCAAGACAAGCATCAGGTCTGATTTTTACAGACTAGCTGTAACCATTCCTAGGGACCTGACCGCAGCATGCATGGAGGCACAGTTGAATGCCATCTACTGAATGAAGCTCATGTCATGTCATAACACACACGCTTTAGTGGATGCGATAACAAAGAAACGATTCAATGACCTAAATTTGGTTCACCCTGCACTAATACCACTCGGAAATGGGGAAGTACTAAACTTGTTTTATACTGGAAGGCATGAAGTAGTAGTACCAGTAGTAGTACCAGCAGTAGTAGTGGTAGTAGTGGTAGTGGTAGTACTAGTAACAGTAGCAGCAGCAGTAGTATTTGTATTAGTTGTATGAGATAATATGCAATTGGGAGATTTTCAAATTTTCAGGTGTGTCACTGAGGAATATTTGGAATGTCACTTACATGTACCCAGGGAGGTGTTTTACCCTGATGTACCCTATCCCTTAAATTTAAGAGGGTTAGTCAAAGACTAGTGGATTGGAAGAGGGGGCACAAACAGCTAATGCCCCTGCTAAAACTCAATCATTAAAAAAGTGCCCTTTTAAAAAATTTCATCCCAAAATGCCCCCAAGGTGGAAAATATGATACCAGAAATCTTCTTTTCTTCTTTTTAGCTTCTCACAGATATTTCAAAATTGTGAGCACCCCCCCCCCCTTTTCTTTGGGGTGGGGGAGGGGGGGGGGTGATATTCCTGATAATGCCCCCCCCCCCAGTCAAAGCTTCATGGGATGAGAACGGAATAAAATTAGTTATGACCTAAGGTGAGAGGGGGGTGTTGTCTCTTTTCAAATCCGTTTACATATCCTTCTGATTCTCTGAGTAGAAGGAAATATGTGAGTGGGTGGCTATGTGTGGGTGGGTTTTGTGTGGGTGGTGGAAAGGAGCGGAAAATATGATGAATGCCAGTTTAGTGAAAAACAACTTTTGTTTGCAGAAAGAGCAAACAAATCTTCAATCTTCTTGGTTGACGTCTTTTATTATTAATTTATGATATTTGCCTCAAGATATGATTGAAACCTTATCAAGTTATCACCAGTAAGTAATTATTACACTATATCATCAACCTAATCTATGAGAAATCAAGCTGAAAAATAGAAAGAACCTATAAATTATTTACCATTTAGCTAATAACTACTCTGAGATTGAAAGAAAGAAAAATACATTCCTGACTGATTAAAATTTGATCCCCCCCCCCCTCCTCCTGTCAGCCTTATTCAAGAAATGGAAATTATGAACAACAAATTGTTACAAAATATCTGATGGAAAAAAAACAAGTTTTTGGAAATTAAGATGTGAAAATCTAACCAGGTTATCATATTGCTGTACTTGTGAATACCAATTGCCAAATGCAAGTGGGGAAAAAATACTTGTAGTTGCAAATTTGCAGTCTACCCCCCCCCCCCCCACCCCTTCTCCTTCCCCGCCCCAGTTTCCACGTGACCTGTTTCATTTCGAGATAGAAGGAATCGATGGGAGTCCATTCCTTTTTCCTCCTAACAATAATGAGAAGAACAATCTAATGCTCGGACGGACGACACGACATCCTTCGGGCATGTTGTTTAGCCTCGCTAGAATTATTGCCTAGCAATTACTACTGCTTGAGTAGTTAAAGGCATACACAATCTTGGGTGCGGGCACCTGAGAGCTTAGGAAAATGCATCGTGTTGCAACAGCCCATTAACTTCAAGAAATCTAATTTTGTTTTATACAGGAAATGGTGTTGACCGAAAGGGTGATCAGGTTTTCTCCAAATATCCTACTCCTAGATTCTAGAAGCCCTGGTCAGTTCTGCTTAAATAATTTAATATTTCTTCATATACATTTCAATTCAAATTAATTTTATTTGCACATTTGATATACTTTAATTTTTTATGTATACTGATTTCATTATACAGAATTGAATAAATGAATGAAATGAAAAGCAATCATCATAATACAAATTAAATCGATCTGGAGTTCTGCGCACCTGGACAAATTAGGATCCCTACAAATTCTCTGTTCTCCTGTGAAAATACTCAAATATGTTAACGAAAAACGATAATATTAATACAAATTAAATCTGTGATTTATCAACACCAAATTATTCCAACACTATGCATTATTCCTTTAATATTGCCCGAACGCCGTGGGCCCCAGTGCAGTACCAGTGTTTGTGTATCTTATCAAAGCCTACATAGTGGTAAACAGTGGATAGACAGAGATACTGTGCATCTTCTATTAGTATCTTCATGTATGCATGGAATGCAGAAATCAAAACAGAGCACATACATGTACATATACCATGACATGAGTTGTAAAGAAGAGCAACAGCCTTGCTCGTGTAGGACCTCCTGAGCTGAAGTAGGGTTGGCAAAATTTTATCTAACAAAAACTTTAAATTGAAATCTACGATATAAATTGAATAAGCAATTTTATTCAAACCAATGTGGCAAGTATACCGGTATATATTTCATTTGCCAATCTTGAAAGAGTGTATACATCAAATTAGAAATTAACTAGATGGAATTCGACTGCGCGCAGTCGAAAATGATGCCTCCGTTATAGAGCAATTTTACAAACCAAAACAGAAAAAAAAAATTGAATTCACGTTCAATGGTAATCCATTGACAGGTTCTCAGAATATTGTGATTACAAGCAATTTCTCATATACATATATGACCCTTTGATCTTTGACCTCATGACCATAAAATCTACTCAGTTCATTGGCTCTGCAAGATGTTCTGAGTTAAATAGTAATCCATCTGTCAGTTCTAATGAGAATGCGTTCACAAGCTATTTTTGCATACATAATGGGCCCATGACCTTTGACCTTTGACCTTATGAACCAAGAATCTACTCAGTTCATTGGCTCTGCAAGTAACAAACATGACCTAATTTTGGCATGAATCCATCAATCGGTTCTTGAGATAACGCGATTACAAGCTGTTTTTGCATTCATAATGTGCGCTGTGGCCTTTGACCTTTGACCTACGTGCTCCAAAATCTAATCAGATTGTCTTCCTATGGTGATACACACTATCATTAAGTTTGAAGTTTTTACATCTCCAGTGGTTCTTGAGATATCATGATAACAATCTCAATGTATGGAATTTCATAAGTTGACCTCTGTGACCCTTGACCTTTGACCTACGTGCTCCAAAATCTAATCAGATTGTTTTCCTATAGTGATACACACTATCACTAAGTTTGAAGTTTAAATCTCCAGTGGTTCTTGAGATATCATGATAACAATCTCAATGTATGGAATTTCATAAGTTGACCTCTGTGACCCTTGACCTTTGACCTACGTGCTCCAAAATCTAATCAGATTGTTTTCCTATAGTGATACACACTATCACTAAGTTTGAAGTTTAAATCTCTAGTGGTTCTTGAGATATCATGATAACAATCTCAATGTATGGAATTTCATAAGTTGACCTCTGTGACCCTTGACCTTTGACATACGTGCTCCAAAATCTAATCAGATCGTCTTCCTATGGTGATACATACTATCCTTAAGTTTGAAGTTTAAATCTCAAATGGTTCTTGAGATATCGCGCTAACAAATCCAATACAAGGAATTTCATAAGTTGACCTCTGTGACCTGTGACCTTTGACCTACGTACTCCAAAATCTAATCAGATCGTCTTCCTATGGTGATAAATACTATTCCCGAGTCTTAAGTTTAAATCTTAAATGGTTCTTGAGATATTGTGATAACGGTCAAACGGGACGGACGTACGGACGGACGTACGGACGGACGGACGTACGGACGGACGGACGGACGGACGTACGGACGGACAACCCGAAAACATGATGCCTCCGGCACCACCTTCGGTGGCGGAGGCATAAAAAGGAGAGTCCACACCAGAGAGAGGGGTTAGCATGGTATCTCTGGAAACACTGTACAGAGCTTGATAAATCACTACCCGGTTCAGCACCAAAAATGCTACTTTTTATCAAGCAATCTAAAAAGAGCCTCTTTGAACAAAAATAGGGTACCAGTATATTGCTATTATTGCATACCCTGATAAACAACCCAATCATTAATAGTGGTGAAAAGCTTTTTTTTCTTCAAAAAAGTAGGGATGGATAACAGGCAGATTCTTTTAATATAGTCTCTTGTAGATCTGCTCCTACATTTGGAAACCAAACCCCAAACCATGCAGCAGTCTCGTAGCGTAGCACAAAACAATTTGAACTTGGAAGACCTCAGCACCACACTTCACAAGTAGTTCTACAGTATCATGTTGCATACGAGATTCATGACATGGCTCTGACAAGCAACTGTAACCTGCTACTTGACTTTGAAAGTTGAAATCTATATAGCTCATACTTGAAGTGATGGACAGCCTTAGCTTTCCCAGAAATGTTTCCCTATGAATTGATTTGATGATGATGATGATGATGATGAATAACTGGCACAGGAACGAACAACTGAGCCAGATTACTTGCCAAGACACCCAACTATAACTTTAAGAACATGAAGAAGGATGAAGAAACAAACTAGAACTGGAAGCCGAACTGCTGACAACAAAGCATTCTTCCAGAATATCAGGTAAATGTGAAAGGTAAAGTATGGGAAAAAGGTGGAATGTAGACTTACTCTCTGCAAGTTTAAAATGCACCAATCTTTGAGAGCATAAATGCTGAGATGTGCTACAGCCTACACCCCAAAATGCACTACCTGAACAACAACAGCAAAGCCAGCGAAAAACAAATGAGAAAGTGTAAGAGAAAAATGATATATATCTCTCATTTTTTAGAATGATGAACAAAGTCTAGAGCTGCATTAATGACAACAAAACTCACCAAATTGTTTCCTACCTTTTCAAAGCAAATGCTTATCCTCAAATAACGAATCCTGCTCGAAGGAAGCAAAGATTTAAAGCCAAATTATTCCTTTTTCAGAGGACTGGCGAAATGGAGAGAGAGAGAGAAAATGGGCGGTGCTCCTACGACGCTAACGGATCCCTGGGTTGTGAGGTTTTTGAAAGGTCTACGCACAAACAACACCCAAACCCAAGCGAACAGGGACATATATATACCACTAAAACGTGATCTGTGTGTGTTGTGTGTGTGTGTGTGTGTGTGTGTAGTGTAGTTAAACGATATGACAGTATGGTCTGCCACACCCAAACGAGTGTCCTTTCTCCTGAAAGGAGAGAGAGAGAGAGAGAGATAGAGAAGGTAAATTATAGTCTAGAAATTCAGACCCCTTTTCTGTTTTCATCATTTCAATCAAATGGAGACAGACAACTGGAATGTTTTTAACTTTTGTTCAAGTTTATGAATCTCTTAAAAAAAAAAAACATCAATTACATGGATAATGCTAATGCTATACACCAATTTTTTTCTAATTGACAAAGAAATTAATATAGGAAGTGATCATACAAGGTATATCAGTAATTTCAAAAGTAAGTTTCAAACATAATATTTAAATAATGAATCTACCTAGGGTTTTGAGGTGTTTGAATGAAGAATACAAGCCACACATATATATTTTCATGTCATATTTAAATGTGCTGACAATTGGGCTTAGATTTTCTCACGTATTCTAATCTTTTGGGATTGATAAAAAGTTTCATAAGAAAATATTATTATGCATCGACTTTCTCCAAATATCTACTAAAATATATTTTAGTTTTAAATTAAAAGAAATCTATAGTATACCGTTTGTCATTAAAAATAAAGTAACTTTTGTCCTATATTACTACTACCAGTAGTATTATAGTATTGAAGGGAAATGCAAAAGTAATAACAAAGATGTGTGCCTAAACACAGACTAACATTAAACTTGTATGTCGTCATTGCCAAAACACAATTATGACCAATTCCTGGCGTTTTCTATCTGACGTCAATATTACGTCATAGTAAATAGCAGAGGGACATGAACTGAATCTAATCTCGTTTTCTTTTGACTACAAATTTGTTGCTTTGACCTTGTTTTTCATGTTGCCATGGAAATTAATAACTTTTTGCTGGGCTCTGAAAGGAAGTCTGCACATATTGGTTTCTGTCTGTGCTTTATTTTTCCAATGCTGTATTTTATGACTGAAGTTTCTGTAAAAGGATTCATGATATTTGTAACAAACCGCACAGACTCATTATTGTTGTGCAAAAGTGCTTGAGTAATTAGAATGAGAAATAGCTGAGAGAACAGAAATAAAAATGACAAAACGAAATCTTTGCAGAGTATATCCTTTCCACTCTTAATAAACTTTCTATGCCTTCCCCATTCTTTCGTTCTACTTTTCGATCTATTCCCGTTCCCCCCCCCCCATTTTACTAATTACGCCTACAACCTTTAACTTTATACTTCCCCTCCCCCCCCAATCCACCTCCAGCTTTTGAGAATAAGTTCTAAAACTTTTCACTTTCTACCCCTTCCCCACTGACATTTGTTATCCAATGTTATTTAAAAAAAATGAGAATGATCCTATCTGTTTTGATTTTAAACAATATAATTTGAATTGAATAGAGGCCTTAATAGCTACACCCTTCCCCCTTTCTCTTCTTTAAATGTATACCTTGAGTCCTTGACCCCCCCCCCCTGTACCCCCCACTACCAGTTATGACAGTGCAGAATATAGCTGTGAAATAATTGCCACTTATGGAAAGTTTGTCAGTGATTCATAACGATCATGTTTACCTGCACGTAGAGTATGTAGTGACAGTAGGATGGAAAATAGACAGACTCACGTCACTAAATTGTGTCATCATTCATATTCCTAGTCATTCATCTTGTTTACTAAGACCCATATTCCACTTTTATTGCAAAATCACATCCTCACTTATGTTGTGTATAATGTAGGATTAATTTCATTTTTTTTCTCCCTACTATATCTTGTAGAAAAGACATGTTAAAAATGATTAAATTTTGGATACCTGATAATGCTGTTTAATAAACTTGCGTCTTTAAACAAATTATTGAACAGAATTTTTTTTTGGAAAAAACCTGCACTTCTTTGGACTCCAAAGAAATCAAGGCTTTGCTTTATATTTGCAAAGTACATACACACAGCCTCAAGTATGTTTAGCTTTCTCATACATTAAAGAGAAGGTTGAGTTCTGGGAAGAGGTGAAAAATAATTTGTGAGCGTTATCATTCTTATTATGCAAGTGTGGAAGAACATCAGATAAGACATGTTCCCTGAAAAGCATGGCTCTTCAAATGCCTTCATATTCTAAATATGTCATGTAACTCGTAAAACTCGGGGGGGGGGGGGGGGGGGGGTTTTTTACGCCACGTGTTCGTGTAGTCCCGTATACATCTTTCTGTGTACAGTGTTTGTAACTTTACCAAGACTTGGCCAAATTTCTTATCATTTTGATGATTCCAGAACCTTGCAATACACACAAATTCTTATATGCTAGATGATCAACTTTTTCTGGTCGATTTTACACCGTTTCTTTCACAATGCAATCGCATGACCAGAACTCAACTTTATCTTTAAACATTCATTTTTCTGATTGCGGTCTGATTTAATTCAAACCTTATCCAACTGTTTGTCTTATTTTTCTGCTTTCATACAAAGGAACCAAATTCAAGGGTTCAAGTGCTCTTTAAGAATAAACATCTTGGGATACAGTATATACAAACGCCTCTTCTGGACCTTTCTGAACGGTTATCCAGCTGTTCGGATCACATCAAAACTACATTATCTGACATTAGCTGTCACCTGTCTACTTGTTTCTATGTAGGGGGGGACGAGAAAATGATCTGTTGGGAGCCTGAGGGGTATGAAGTTCAATGCCATGTTAAAGGTACTATGTCCCATTTGCAGGCCAAAAATATGAAAAGGTTATTTTCCAAAGGCATTTGAAAGATAATACTAATTTAGAACTTCCCTCAGAACGAAAGGGCTTGAAAATGTCTTTAAGTGGGAAAATAAGGACCAACAGTTGTTGAATCGACTTAGTGATTTCAATCCATTTAGGTTTCCTTGCATAATTTGAATACATATTAGGACACTGCTAATGCCTAAATTTCACAGACAGGACATACATGTACATGACATATTCATAATTCCTGCAAAGTTCTACAGATTTTGATGTTGGCTGCAAATGGGACATAGTACCTTTAAAGCCCTTCTGTCTGCCAACAGATAAAATATTCATCATGTCATATTCTAGAGGTCATTATCAACAGCAGAAAGAGGGACTTGGGGTTTCGGAAGGGGGTAAGGGGGTGCAGGAAGGGGTGCAGGAGGGGGGTAAGGAGGTTCAGGGGGGACGGGGGTTTAGGGAAGGTCTGACTCAAGCAAAGGGTGCGTCCAGGAAGGGAACGTTTTCCGGAGCCTTTTGACAGGGTCGAGCAAATTAATAGTCTTGCCTCCGAACTGCTCCGCAATATCTTTCAGACAGGGAATATTGTTATGGAGACTAATCACTGATTTGTTAGGTTACAGTGGTGCATTCCGAAAGTAGTTCCAAAAAAACTTAAGATATCATTTCATGATGGGTTTTTGATCATAAGGCCTTAATGTTTTATATCTCATTCATGAGATAATTTTGCATTCCAAGAAGAAAGATATGTTTTTTTATGTCCAAAACTTAAGATGTAATATTACAGTTTTGGACATAATTCCATAAATGTAGCTTCAAATAATAATATTACATAACAGAATAAGACACTCTAACTGTTGATTTTTCATTAGTTTACCCCCAAATAAACATATGTGCTAACAAAATCTAATATTTGCCAAGACCTGTACTCTTGATATAGCGCAATTACCACAACCTTGACATTACCAGGAATGCTCTTAACCGATTCATGATCAAACAAAATGGATCAACATCTACCCTCGAATGAACCTTGATTCCTTCATATTTCAACACATCAACACCACTTTGAGCATTTGGACCACAATACCACAATTACCATCAAGTTGTATTCATCATATTCACCCTTCGAGTTTGGGTTACAAGTGACATTGTGATGCGAGTCAATCGTACTTCCTAAACCACCAGCCATGAACATGATACATTTGTACAAGCCTACGTGTAGCTCGAGACATGAGGTTTCATTTAATGGCCCCAATTATATGAATTCAACTACCGGTAAAGCTAATGCAAGGTTAAAGTCATGTTTTATAGCAACACGATCGCAACTTTTTTCAAAAAATCAACTCAATCGGAACCAATTCACTATTTGAAAGAGAAATGAAAAACAGACTGATTGTAAATCAGGAGCTAAAAAGGCCAGACAAATGGTTGCCAGAGAAACTGTTAAAAGCACTTCAGATGATAATTAATATTTATTTGACATTGACAACAGCTTCGGGCCCTAAACAGTTGAATCACAAGACATGGAATTTGGGGAATTCATGAAAGTTTATTATTGCTTTTAGGGTCATTTCCAGGTTTTTTAGTAAGATATTGTTTTAGTCAGTCATAATTTTTTGGTTCAAACAAAACCTACATTACAAACCATAAATACTTTCCCTCAAAATGCAAACATCCATTACCGGTAAACAATGAGCCTCTATATACATTAATATGAAGTTTTCAGGGGATAAAACCTCAATTTGCATATAAAAACAGATTACCGGGAACACATCATCATCCTCATTATGTTACATAAATGGCCATAAAAGGCAAAAAATCAATAACTACCATCATCCATTTCTGAAGATGAGCAAACAGAAACCCAATACATTCTTTGCACAGTTTAGCTAGATCACTATACAAAACAACGTGTTTGTACGGAAGTCAATGGTTCGTTGATCTCTAGAAATGCGAGCTATTTGGTGATAAACGGACCAAAAATGGATGCTTGTTTGTGAGGTCTCTGTCAAAGTCATTAGACCGGGAGAGGTCATTTCCAGACAAATAGTCATTTTTTCGTGTTTGCAGAGAACTGGAAGTTGGTTATTATTGGGGTATGACTGCAAAAATTTAGTTGTTGACTGAAAATTTTTTACTGCAATTTGAGTTTGTCAGTCTTTTCTCAAATGTTCAAGAATTTTTAACCCTTTACTTGCTTTCTTTGCCTCTCCTGCATGGTCACTTGGTTGCCACGTGTGAAATTTTCCAC